TGGAAGTATTAGTTGATATTTTGCTCCCAAAATAATTGGGGAACACTGAGGTACGCTCAAAATCTTCTCATCACATGTAATACAAGAGAAATAATCCTAGGGGGCGGACATATCTGACTTTGAGGGCTGGACTTAGACAAGGAAATTAAAGGGGAGACTCACCTTGTCAAATTCCGCACAAATCATGGGGTGATTTGTCTCCCTTCATATCTGGAGTTTTACTCGGCCAAATGAGGTGTATAAGGTGTCCCTGGAGAGCCCTTGAAGTCTAGTTGACTTATTGGGTGGTTGATGTGCGAAGAGAAAGATAGTTTCAGATAAAAACCGAGCTTGAGTGAACTGCTGCGCATAAGCTCGAGCAGGGAGAGGGAGGTGTTTCCCGGTTCGTATCTTGAACTCCAGTTGTCCAAATAGGGAGTGTGAGGTGTCTACGGAAAGCTCTCGAGAGGAGGAATCCGTGAAGGTATGTTTTGCATCAAACGGAGTTGTGGAAGGCCTCCAAATAGTCCGAACAAAACATAACCTCGCAGAATCGGATCTTCCTTTCCACAGTGAGTTTTAACTCCAAAACCTTTCTTTTCATTTTCCAAATGATATGAACGATTGGTGGAAACTATTATACACTATTTCAAGTGTATAGAATGTTATTATAAGGGTACCTTATTTGTTGGAAATGTTAGATACTAACCTAGACAAAACCTTGAAAGGTTAGGGAACGAATTCGCCGGAGAACACCCGTTCTAGGGACTGTTTTCGTGTCGACGTTTAGGGGTTGAGCTAGCACTGTGAGGAGGATGCTTAACACTCGTATTTAAGCAAGGAATCAGTTCTTAATCTACCTTGGCCGAAGCTTTGACCATTGGATCAAGAAAGAGAAATTTAAAGCTCATTTGAGGTGAGGATCGACATCTAGTTGCTTACAACTTGTAGGTTAAGCATGAGATTACCTAAATGCCTAAATCATGTTTTTCATGGATTATAATGACTGATTATTGATGAAATATTTATATATTTGATAAGGAATGAAATTGCAAATGATTTGGGAATCATATTGATAAAAATGGAGTTAAATGAACTATTGTGTGAAATAGGCATTTTTACCCATGTGTGAATTGTGTAAATACATAAATGATTATGTATTACATTGGATGATTAAGTTGCTGCTACATATTACTAAATATGTAGGGATTTACAAATGAAATATATGATTGATGGGAATAATCTTAATAGTATTGGAATACTAGTTAATGATTGTTTGTAATTGTTAAGAAATTGAATCTAAGGATTTGATTGTAAGTGATATACTTGATTGTGGTTCAAGTGAGTAAATTGTTGTAATGTGATGCTAAGATCATGATGAGGCAGTCCGTAAGGATGTCCCGAAATAGATTATTGATATTACAATTCTAGGCATAGCGAGTGCTTAGGAATTGGAGTCTATGCCAATGCAAGGAGATGTACTTGAGCCCGATGCTCTAGAATTGCATTGGGTAGACATAAGGATTTGGTTCAGCCCATGTAAGGAGATGTACTTGAGCCCGATGCTCTAGAATTGCATGGGTGAACATGACGTCGGAGATTGGTGGAGTAATTGACTTGTGATCGATGTGCATGGTGATGTAGTCGAGTTGGACTCGAGAAATGCAAACATGTGTGTTAGGGTTGAACCCTATAGATTGTTGTGACTAGGGGTCACGGGGTTTGGGTTATGTTTTGCAAACGAACCTTGGGCCATGGGCCGACTACTTGACATTACATATAAAGTAAGTATATTTTGAAAAGTGGTAACTTGGGGTTACGGCCTAGATTATACTATCACCCTATTTGAGGGTCTTGTGTTTGAAATACCTGTTGTATATCTATTAGATGTCATCCACACCAGTACTTTATAGCCGTATAGAGTACTGACCCCCTTTCGGGGGGCGTCCCACCATCATTTCAGGTTGAGGCTAGAGCTTGCTACCTGTGCTTGTTGATCGGGCGATCATCTCGGAGGGGAAGACTTGGTTCGTGCTTCCTCCATTCTGATTTTAAACATTTTAAAACATGCTCATGGATATTGTTTTTCATTATGGAGCCTGCGTACTCGTGTTTGCCCCGTGTGGCACTTGTATCCAAACTATGATTTCCGCTGCGTATTCAATTACTTATTATGTATGTTTATGGATGACTTATGTGTGAATGATATTCGAGACGCCTTGTATAATATGGATGAGTTGGACTGCGGTTGACTATTCATATTGTACGACGGATTGTTGACGTGTCCGGATAGGTCCGGGGCGTGACACTTTTATACTTCGTATGATTTTGGCAGCCATGTAGGGTTACGGGCCAATATTGGTCCCTCGATTAAAAACTGACCAAAACCTTATTAGCTCCGTTGTGAATATGTTTATCATGTTGACTTTTCTTGGTCAATGATGACAAAACTTTGGATATCAATTGTAAACTTTTATGACAATATTTTGAATAAGGAACATTTTGATATAAATTTCATATTCAAAGTATTTTTGTATTAAAAAATATCATTGATTTAGGTTGATTGTCATTGACCGAGAAAAGTTAATTTGTCGAACTTTTTTGGGACGGATGAAGTATATGATAAATAAGTAGCATCATACTACCTCTGTCCCGTTTCCATTGCAAAATAGCACTGTAAATTAGATAAAAATGAAAATATTTATATGAGACATCTCAAAAAAGGACATTGATAATCTCAAAATGGGAGGGAAAGTGTATAATATAAGATGGAAAAGGGTCAGTGATTGTGGGGATGAAACCTGAACGTAAAAAACTGAAAGAGGTCATGGAAAAGGGAGAATATCACAATTTCAAACTTATAATGATCAACAAAGTGAACCAGAAGTCATGCCTTATTTACTGGGCAGAGTTGAACTCCTGAGACCAAGTGTTTGGACTCATCACTCCTGTTTTTGATTTTATTTTTGCAACGGACTCAAATAGTTGGTAAGCCAAATATGCAAATAATATTTGCATTTTAATTTCTTGCACCTAATCAATGTCTTTTTGGTGTGAAAGGAAGCTATGATGAGGGTCAATAATTAATTGATAACACTGCCCCGGGTGAGGGTCATTCTTTGGTCCATGAATTATTGATACCAGCGTGATCATTTTTTTTTTAAGTTTCTGTCCATATGAAATTATCACAAGTATCAATCAATTCAGTTATTCTTATTTTTAATGCAAAAAAAAACACTTGTTTGAGGGGCCAACGGTGGTCGAGTTCACATCTGCCTCGAATTGGCATGTTCCTTTTATTTATTTATTTATTTATTTATTTATTTACTTATTTATTTATTTACTTATTTATTTATATGTTTATTTATTATTTATCTATTTTTATTTTGACATGTTCCTAAATAACTGAATCCTCTCTGGTTTGGCAATTTCATTGCCTTTCGAACTAACTAACAAACAAAGAGTAGGAAACCATGACTTATATATAGTTAAAATAAAATGAAGTTAATTGGTTGATGAAACAATGATTTCTCATACGTAGTGACTGTAATATTATTATTACTCCGTATTATTTTGCGAGTAAAGTAGTTTTTATACTAGTAACTATAAATTGATGCGATTATGTCCAAGTATAATTGGTTGATAAAACAATGATTTCTCTATTTTGTTTTTGTTTTCATCACTATTTTAGTATCCCCTCACCGGCTACAATACCATCAACTCGACAATGAGACAAACATAACTAAGAGGTTTTATAATTAATTCCACCTCTCTTATAAAAATCGAAACTTGAAGATAGAATATATTGCACGAATGAAAAAAACAAGAAAAAACAAACAAACTGCAATATGTAAACAAAAGTGCTACTCTAATTGTAAAGATAAAAAATTATTTCGATCGATTCACTAACAATTGAAATTGTTTATACGTAATTCATTACCAAAAAATAACATTGATCTTATATAGGGTTGGATTCGGTTCGGGCCACCCGGCCCGTGACCCGGCCCGGTACTGTGCGGGCCCGGGATCGGCCCGGTCGGGCGGTCCGGGACCGGGTATGGGCCCGAACCGGGGGGAAGGGGCGGGGCGGGCTCGGTTCAGCATTTTTGTGACCCGGCCCGACGGGGTCGGGCCCGGGTCCGGGTCTATTTTAAAAAAAAAAACTTTTTTTTTGATTTTTGGCTACTAGCCGTTGAGGCCTTGGGGGTGGGGCTGGGGACAACCCAAACGGCTATATAGCCGTTGGGTGGGGTAAAGGGGGGGTCCGGGGGGGTTGGCTGGTAGGGGGGGTGGGGGTGGGGGGTAAAAAAACCTATAAATACTCCTACTCTTAAACATTTTTTCATATCTCTTCTCCAATTCTTCCTAAATCCTATTCTTAACTCTCTACTCTCTAATTCTCTTATTCTCCAATATATTATATATCTACTCTCTAATTCTCTTCTCCAAGAAGTTAAGATGGAAAATCAAGATGCCATTATACGGTATAATTTTGATAAGCAGAAGGACCCGAAGACCGGGATGTGGTACGCAATTTGCAAATGGTGCGGAAAAAAATGTATCATGGGAGCTTCAGGCGGATTCGGGATGGCAATCAAGCATATGAAGTCATGTGACAAAGCCAAAGGATCGGGAGGTGCGGGAAGTTCCGATTGATTACAATTTTCAAAATGTTTATCTCTTAAAGTTTGTTTTAATTTTCAAATGTAGTTCCTATTTCATTTCAAATAAATGCAATTGAAGTTTGTTTTTAATACACGTATAAAACTATAAACTATAAAATATAAATTATAAAAAAAAAAAATTAACTGACCCGGCCCGAACCGGACCCGACCCGTGACCCGGGCGGGTGGCCCGGCCCGAACCGGACCCGTCCAACCCTCGGGCCGGTCCCGGGCCCACTTTTCTTGAACCGGCGGCCTGACCGGGCCCGACCCGGCCCGAATCCATCCCTAATCTTATACATTCGTTTTATTGAAATATACAAAGAAATACGAGCATAAATAACACACATTTGTTAAGGAGTGTTCATATGATCATATCATGGTCCGGTTTATAAATTTATTTTACCACTTTCAACTTGAGATTGCCAATTGCTGGCCTTAACAAATACTATCTATATTGATGATAACAGGGAAATGCAAATTCTTAAACGGCACTGCTAATGTAACGGTAGAAAGATATTACCACATATTTTTCGCAATAGAGGTGATAATAAAATGGAATGCAAAACCGAGACGCGGACGCTGTTTTTTCCTTAATTAGATGCTCTACATACTTAATTAAGCACAAACACACAATTAAAATAACATAAACAATATGACAATGCAAAAACTAGGAAGACAATGAATGTCGCCTGCTTCTTGATGCGGCAGGGCTGTCCGAGGTATCGGAGCTGCTGTTTTCACTTTGTCCATCTTTGTTACTTCTCCACATCTTCTTTGAGAATATCTTCTTCTTCTTTGACATTATTAAACTCTTCACCTCCTCCGAAGCAACAGCTCTTGTTTTCGTTATAGCACTTTCCTTTAACTTCAGGTTAGCAAGCTCCACTTTTAAGGCTTTGAGCTTCTTTTCCTCCTCTGCTGTAGGGACAGGTCGAACAGAATCCCAATCTTCGTCCCCCTCCGTGACTGTCCTAGAGCTCCCGTGCGACCCTCCTCCCGGTAGGTTGGATGTAGTAGTGCTGCTGCTGCTGACCTCATCAGATGATGTGGTCGCGGATCGTAGTTGCTCGAAGAACAGAAGCTGTACAACAGCCCGTAATGGAAGCCTCTCGTTTTGGACAGCATGCATGCACCCCTCAGCTGATAGCTTCTTGCAATCCATTAGCCGACATATTCTTTTTCTCTCGCTTTTAGTGATCCCAGGATGCTCCTGCAAGGGGGAAATGAACTATAGGACTAACCCTAACAAATTTCTTCAGATAAAACTATCCATGGGTTTTTACGAAAATATGATGCCACTGTAGTAGGTGCTATTCTTTTTTAGGATCGAACAAGTCATATTTTCATAAAAATCACTATATATGCACATGACTTATGTTTAGTTTCTTGAGCATATTTAGGCAACAAAAGTGACACATTAATATCCTTTGATTGCGAAAAGAAGAAGGAAATAATTTACCTTGAGATACATGTCAATCGCACGGTAAATTCCATCATGTGATGTCCTGGGGAATCCTGAGACCATTTCAGCGAGACCAACAAATTTTGGCAAAGGCAGACTAGGATCTCTTGCCACTTCCATGAGGTATCCATCAACCAGCGTAGCCACCTTAGCCTTCGAAGCATTCGGCTCAAACACAGTGTCTTGTCTACATTCAACCCGATCACTTCCTTCCCCCATCACAAACTGCTCCACTACTTCTTGAACTATGTCAATGGATTCTTGAATGAGAAGATCAGCCACTGTAGCCTCTTCCAGCCGCAATCCTATCCTTTTGATCAACTCCCTTTTCTGTGTTCCTCCACATTCCAAAGCGATCGACGCTTGGAGAAGTTTCAGTAAGAAACTGCAGTGAACACTGTTTTTCTCAGCAGGCAATAAACACGCAATGGTGTCAACCACGTGCCGGCACTTCACAGGATCGTTGCCTTTTATTGTGCCCTTATTGAACCCCGGCAGCCTCCTATAAGCATATGCTTTCAGCGCTTCTCCGATCACCTTACCAGATGCTTTACCTTTTATACCCTTTATGACTCGTTTGTATAAGTCTATATGAAGCTCACAAAGATCCTCCACCCACCAGTCATCTGGGACAGGGGTATGGAAGCTTCCGTCTTCGAATGGAAGCTTCCTACGGTTGTAGGTATATGACCAGTCAACCTCTGCAGGGTTGATTGATGCTTTAAAAGCAATGGAGTCTAGGCAGCGGTTAACAATTTTCAAATCCTCTGACCAGGGAAGAAAAGATCTTGTTGTCTGAAGGGCAATGATAGAATCTTTCCAGGTCCTAAAGATGCTTGATGTGAGAAAGACTTCAATTTTGTAGATAAGATTGCCTTTTTCGGTTGTTTCGTTCATCTCCAGGTATTCTGCTGCACAGCGGGTGGCAACCACGTTGTACGGGTTAAGAGTGACTGTCATGCCGTAACAATACTTTGCACAGATTTCAAATGCAGCGGGTCCACCGGGTATATCCGGGATTTTAATCTCGTCGGGGTTCTCTCCATTTGAAGAGGCGACCAGCCGTTGCAAGCAAGCGCTCTTGGACAGAAGGGGAAACTGTAAAACAAGGTAGCAATATTTCAGAACTGTATTATATAATCTGATGATATGCTTTTATTCACGACTACAATATTTCTTACCTTGCAAAAACTGTAACAAGTTTTAGCCCACTGTTGTAAAGGAGGAGTAAAGGGCTGTTTACTTTAATTTCTTGAAGTCATTTCGCTAGTAAATGTGTCTGTGCACTTAGATGTTTGTCGGTCTCTATAATAGTCTGAATTGAGTAAAATAACCAATTTAAGGTCATTTTTGAATCACCTCTGCCAAAGGCAAAATCAAGGATTGTTTTGGTAAATATTTACAGTTCATCCAAAATAGGACAGTTTTAGTAAGATTTATTTGAATGAAATGGTCGAATTGCAGAGTTGATTACTATTTCTAAACCTTCTTTTAAAAAACTATTGTATTTCTATTTCTTTACTTTGACTAACTTATTTCAACCAAAGAAGCAAGTAGAAGAATACTTATTTTTATTATTCCACCAATAAGCAGAACAAGTGGATTAAATCTACAAAATAGATGCCAACATAACTAAGAGGCTAACATTGCAAATTCCCATATTGTGTTACATACCTTGTGTAGATAAAATCTCACGTTTCCAACATCAATGACCATGTCAGTTGCCAATTCAGAAGCTACATACCTGATATAATTCGCACACCATACTTGTTAAATTGTAGAAATAGAAATAATAGTAAAAAAAGTACAGTTATAGTATGATACTTTTTTGCGCAAATTAGTTAATATTGTTGTAAATGACTACTTTAACTATAGTCACATCCCACATATTTTTATTTATTTATTAATAAAATATTTTAAATACAATTGTTTCATGATTAAGAAGATTCAGTCAATTCATCTGCTTAACTCATAATTTCAACAATTTCAATAAATTACAAATTACAATTTCAGTGTTACTATTAGAAATAATTATATAATTATGACCAAAATGAAGTTTGTTTACAAAAATATGATTATTGACTAGAGTAGTATTGAAATTATAGTAACTTATGTTCAATTTTTAAACTTAAGTTACTATGGCACTCCATGGTAGTAACTAATAGTCATATTTGTGTAAATATATTTTATTTTAGTAATATTTTTGTAAAAAACCTTACTATTATGATGTGAATTAGGTTCAAAGTTCTGGTGTCTTATTTCTACAGGGTTTAGATAAATTATTCTCTATATTGTAATAATCTCAAGAAATTATGAGATTGTAAGTTCAAAGTCATATCAATAAAGGTAAGTTCATTACAGATTCTGTAAATAAAATTTATCCAGATGAAATAACCAACCTATGGGAGGAGTTGTTAACATTCTCTATTTCTTTAAAACAAACTACAAGTGGATAAAGGGAGGAAATCCTAACAGTAGAAAGAAAACACTGACCTGATATTGTCACCCTCACTCTGAAACAGATCAGGCTTTGACCCAAGCTTCATGAACTTCATCTTGATAGCTCCTTTCACCTTCACAGTAATCTCAAGAAAACTTCAACTCTAGAAAGCAGAACTAAATAACAGATAGGCCTCTCAAAACCAAGGGAAATGACCCTTAGGACCTGAGACAGAAAACAAACATCACCTCTGTTAGAGTTGTAGACTAGCACCAAATGAGCAGACAAGAAACAAACAAACACACACAAAAAGGACCCATTTGCAGAATATACAAAAGAAGACCCAGAAAAGAGGCTACCTCTTTACAGAAATCAGATACAGGTAAAAAAAGATGGAATCTTTGAGCTTAGTGGTCTCAAGAACTCACAAGAGAGGTAGACAGTGAAAGGGTAGTGCAATACTGCAATGGAATGGTCCAAGATAAGCAGCAAAGGTGGAGAGAAGAATCAATACAAAAGAGGGATGATTCCAAAACAGTGGAAACAAAGTGCAAAGCACTGGAAATATATAATATATGTACACACACTATAGCTGTGGGAGACAAAGCCTAGAAAAAACCGACCTGAGAGGGCCACCACCACAATGCTAATACTCTTATCTTTAGCTGATTAAAAAAACAAAAACAAGAGGAAAAGCTGATTAGCCCCGAGGAAGGGAAGAAAAAGAGAGAGGGGTTTAAAAAGCGGCCATGGAAAAGATGAGTTGTCGCTAATCTTTGACAGCCACCATGGCAACACCATGTCTTCTCATAGAATGTTCCGAAAGCCTCTTTATTAGATTTAGAATCGGCATCACCGCCCCCCAACACCACCTCCACCACTCCGACCGCCACCTTTTCTCCACTCCCGTCTTTTTATAACCGGAGGAATCTCTTAATTTTTTGTCAGAACTCGCATAATGACTTCCACCAACCTTATTTTATTCAAATAGTGCTTAAGAGTGTTAATCAAATTGACATTATATGATGATTTAAGATAAGGGAAAATAAATTAAATATCAAATTTGAATATGTCGTATATACCAAAACTTATATAAAAAGTTATATTAGAACAATATCATATATTTTTTCATAAATATAATTTTATGATATTATGTACATTATTTAAAATATACAAAAACATTTATGAGGATGCAATTAAAATGAAATTGTACCAAATGTAATACTATTTATTTCAAAAATGAGATTTTAAAATCACTACAAAAAAACACGCCTGTAGTCACGGACAATAGTCACGAATTTCGAATTTGGTCCGTGACTAGTTAGTCACGGACCTAGTCACGGGCTAGTCACGGATTTTAAAAAAAAGTAGTCACGGATATGACCGTGACTACGCCTGTGACTACTAGTAGTCACGGATTGTATCCGTGACAAACCTATTCCGGCCAACCCAATTGTGCCTCCGGCGGGTTATTTTTCAAATTTGAAATTAGTCACGGACAAATCTGTGACTAATTCTGTGACTAAACTTAAACCTAAATCTTCGTTGCAATCTCATCCTTCGGATTGTGAAGCTTGGAGACACTTTGACCGTTGTCATCCTCAGTTTGCAATGGAGCCACGAAATATGCGAGTGAGATTGTGTTCAGACGGATTTGCTCCATTTGGAAGGTTTGAGAATAACTATTCATGTTGGGCGGTCATGTTAACTCCTTACAATCTCCCTCCCGACATGTGCATGAAAAGTCATTTTATCTTTTTGACTTTAATTTGTCCGGGTCCCAATGATCCAGGAAAAAAGATAGACATTTATCTTCAACCCCTTGTCGAGGAGATGAAAGAACTTTGAGTCATCGGGACACCAACTTATGATGTTTCAAGGGATCAAAATTTTATCATGAAAACTGCCATCATTTGGACCATTAACGACTTCTCTGCTGATGGCATGCTTTCGGGGTGCAGCACACACGGTCTTCTAGGATGCCCGATATGCATTGAGAAATCAGGTGCCAATTGGCTAACTTTCAATAAAAATCAAGTTACTTTGATTGTCACCGCAAGTTTCTCTCGGAAAACCATCGATATCGAAATGACAAAAAGTCTTTCATTAGAGGTAGGGTGGTTCGAGACACCCCACCCTCGAGATTGACCGGGGAAGCAATTTTTAACCGGATTCGACGTATTCCTACAGCTGTGCAAGAGCCAAATAAGAAGCCATATGGGTTTTGTGATACCCATAAGTGGACAAAGAGGAGTATATTTTGGGAGTTACCATATTGGAAAGACCTTCTCATTCATCACAATATAGATGTCATGCACACTGAGAAGAACGTGTTTGACAATATATTTAACACAATGATGGATTTCAAAGGCAAAACTAAAGACGGTCTTGCATCTAGAAAAGATATGACTATTTGGTGTGACAGACCCGAACTTTTTGTTGATCTAGAATATAGGGTAACAATATTCCAAAAGCAGTCTACCAAGTCACAGAAGCACAAAAGGAATCAATATTACAATGGCTTGTGTCTCTGGAGTTTCCAGATGGCTACTACTCCAACTTGTCCAGATGTGTGGACATGAACAAACTTACAACGACGTCGAGCATGAAAACTCACGATGCTCATGTAATCATGCAACTACTTCTCCCAATTGCACTAAAAGAGATGTTTCATGAAAACGTATGTGTGACACCCTGAAAATTTAAGAAAATATTATGATATAATAAATTGACTTTTGTAATTATGTCAACCTTAATCAAATTAATTAAGTTATAAGAGATTGAGTACAATTCCTAAAGTTATAAAATGTCTTTTAAATGAAAATTATATCAATTCAAAATATGTACACAAATACTAATAATCAATATTAAAAAGATACATACATATTAAATAAGTTAACTATTCATCAAATGTTAACACCCATGTACGTATATATATGTTGACGTACTACTATACCCATATATAGACACCAAAATATACGTACGTATACATATATAATACTCCGTATTACAGCTCGATCAACAGATACATATATATCCAGCTCGATCCACACATACATATATATCCATCCACGCAGCAAGTAATCAGCTGAATCAGTACAATACTTGTTCAATTTTGACCAAAACAAACAAAAATAGTAATCGTTTGCATCGGCCTGCTGGACATACACATATACACATCTATACATATAAATAGGTGTATTCCCTTAGCTTGCTATGCTCAAAAAGAAAAACGACCGAACAGACACATAAGAGAAAAGAGGGATAGGTAGAGGAAGAAGACTACTGCACACCGTCGTATAAATTGCCTGCCGCCACTGCCGAAGAAGGAGACCATCCTCGCCAGAAAAGGAATAAAAGTCATCTATCAGGAGGTTCGCTGGACTGCACTCCGTAGCTAGGCTGGGCCACTCTGCTTGTCCGTAGAAGTAGAATCGTCTACCGTCTTCGCCGGAGGAAGTTACTGCATCCTGCGTCCTGCATCGTCGGTCGTTCTTGCGCAGAAGAAAATGTACAGTACGTCATCCTTATATACTACTTGAACTGGAATTTATTCTAATACGAAGTAAAAGATTTGAGCTGGGTTGGACACTTAGTTATTAAACACGGGCTGCCTGAAAAATGTAAAACATCTAGATTAGTTAAATAATAATAATAATAATAAGATAGCACATCCAATAGTAATAAAATAAAGAGAGATTTTCCTAAATAAGACTAAAAGAATGTATAATTGTAAAAACAGGACTACTATGTTTTATTGGACAAAAATAGGACTAAAAAGAGCTAAACTGACGAAAATACCCCTAATGAAAAAATTACGCACACCAGGTCTCTGCTGCGCATGTTTCCCCTTCCCCTTTCTGCGCAGGTTTCCCCTTCCCCTTGTTGCGCAGGTGTGTCGTATGCGCATGTTTGGAGTCGACGCCTCCACCATTGGCACCTCTGCCACCATCCATGAAGTCTGCCATCATCGCCACCACTCAGCTAGTACGCTGCCATCACTCTCCAACAAAGATTTGCCTTGAAGTGAGTCAATGCATATCTCCATGAGGAATGACACTTCATATGCGAGAATGCCACTTAATATGCATAATGACACAATAATGACAATTTCGTATAGAGAAATGGCATTCTCAATATGACATTTTCAAATACCGTAATGACATAAAAGTGACATTTTTTAAAAATACTCATTAATAATGACATTCTACTATTCAAAAGTGGCATTTTCTGGAATCATTAGTCAGAGCATTTTGAGAATCAAATTAATCAAAATTGATAACAAAAAATTCAAGTTCAGATATATCTTCATTTGGAACTTTCAAAATTCAAAATTTTATTTAAAATTTGATTGATAAAAAACTAAAAAAAAAGCAGAAAACTAGGAAGAAGAAGAAGAAGAAGAAGAAGAAGAAGAGGAGGAGGAGGGGGAGGAAGAAGAAGAAGAGTACATACCTGTCTTGGCTATTGCAGCAGAGGTCGTCGACGGCGGAGCTATGGTGTTACGAGGCTACGATCGATGGCGGAGTGCGGCCATGGTGGAGTAAAGAATCGCGGAAGATGAATGACTTAGAGGAAGATGAAATTGGCGATCGATTGCAGAGGGTTAGGTTAATGAGGGGTAAAAATGTAATCTTTAGTCCTATTTAGGCAATTTAAAACTTGAAGTCCTATTTTAGAGTTTTAACCATGTTTTAGTCCCATTTAATATAATTTCTTTAAAATAAAATTAGAACAACTGGACCGTAGAAAGCATTAGGTGGATTTTGTTCACTCTTATTACATTTGACATTTTAGAATAAGTCAAATCAAATAGACTGATTAAAATATAAACGAATGGAATGAGTAATATTTAAATGGACGTATGGATATAAATAAACTTAGCTACTGTAAATGTATAGTTATAAACAAATTAAATAGAACCGATTAATCTCAAAAGTCAATTAGTAAAATAGGATGACTTATCAAAAGTAAGATAAAATACTAATTATGCTATTTTAAAATTACTAAAGGTGATTATTGCCAAGATTGAAAAAGAAGAAGGTAGAAAGTGTCACAATTTTAAGGTAAGTTCCATGTCAACCAAAACTATATTTTTACCTCGTAAATCTATGTGTGAATGTTACTTGTATTTATTTGAGTATTTGGTATCAAATTAAATTATGAGTATTTGGGTTTGTGCTATTTATGTTGTATTTCATATTTTGAGTTATTTACATAGTATGTCATATTTTGAGCTATTTTGAGAAATCAGGTTTTAAGGATAAAATATCCTTATTATTGGAATGTTGGAATTTTATATATCTATAATAGATATTGGGTTTTGGAAAGTATTAAAGATAAAAATTATTTTTCATAATTGTGGGCACCACGAGAGAAACCCGTGGTGTCGGTCTTCTTCACGACCGTTAATTGTGAAGGGGGTGGTTAGGGGCTACTACTGTTTTTTTTGGTGGATTTGGTACTATTGTGAATTATTTAAATATTAATACCCGGTAGACATTCCGGTATTTTTGTGAGGGCTTTAAAAGTCCTTTGGTGGTCGCAGTAGTAGTTTTCTAGTCACTCAGGGAGTATATCCCTTTGAGGAGTAGCTGGTATAAACTACCGGGCTACTTGGGCTTCTTACTACCCGGAGGGCATGGAATCCCTTTTAGGGGGTGTGCACACTTAAGGTAGAAGTTCAGTTTCCAACAGGTGGTCGGTGGAAGCCGGAATTCCGGGATGAGTTGTAAATAACAACAACTCGTTGGGCTCAAGGAATCTTGAGTTTCGCTCATCTTTAAAAGAAACTTTAGAAACTTTGGAGGAAAACCAAACATACAATTATTATTCATTATATAATATTTTCCAAATGTGTATATATGTCGTAAGATGTTTGAATTAACTTTTGAATGCTCTATTTGTTATTATGAAATTTATTTGAATTATAACATTTAAATATATAATACTTCAATCTATATTTTGTATATATATAAATATATATTTTCTCCAAATTATATTATTTTACGGGATTGGGTGAAATCTTACTTAGCGAAAGCTAATTTTAGTTTCTTTTTGTTTTCTCTTTTCTCTATGTAAATTTTCAGGTGATGAATATGACGAATGAAGAACTTCGAGAGCGCAACTTAGAAAATCTAGAAATAAAAGTAATGTATAATATTTTAAATAATGAGCTAGAAACTCTTTACTTTTATTGAAGTTATATTTAATAATGGTGGATAACCTTAGCATTCAGTTATAAAGGCTGAATGTGGCGGTGACACACCCATGTTCTATGTTATATTCCGCTGCATAACTTTTGAATGTTTATTTTTAATAAACAAATTCTTTGATTCTAAGTATTATTTTGGGAAGGGAATTTGGGGGTGTTACAGTATGGTCCTGCATTACTGAGATCAGTTTGTTGTTTCAGTCGATATGTTCCAGCGTTTTGGATGCAGCATCCCTCCGGAGACTAGAAGAGTCTGTTCCCATGCTGATGTGTAATTTGGAAAAGATAACGCCTCCATCGTTTTTCGATGGAATGAAACATCTTGTAATACATCTTCTGTATGAGGCTTTGACTGCTGGGCTCGTCTTCTATCGCTGGATGTACAGATTTGAAAGGTTAGTCACAATTTCATTTATCTTTGAATATTTATTTCATAACAACATTAATCTGTTTACCACTTTTATTTTACATTGCAGATTTCTTGTAGAGTTGAAAAAGAAAGTGACCAACAAGGCACACGTTGAGGCTTCAATTTGTCAAGCGTATCTTCAACAAGAAATATCAACGTTCTCATCTTTTTATTTTGAGCGTGAAATCATCACTAGAAGAAAGAGACCTGCCCGGAACGATGACATTTGCGAGGATTTATACGAAAATGTAGTTTTCATTTTCAATTACTCAGGTAGAGGTAAAGGAGTTGCGACAAACCGATACATCGTAGGTGGAAAATTACAAATTGCGCATACTTATATCCTCATGAATTATCCAGAAATCTTACCGTTTTATCAGTAAGTTAAATTTGTAGTTATATTTGTAATATATATACAATTAAGGTAGTTGATTTATAATATTTTCATGTTTGACTTCACAGTGAATTTAGAGCGGAGTTCTCAGCATTACCTGATAGTGAAATTGATGTAATGGTGGACTCTAATTTTGTACCGTGGTACAAGTATCAGGTATATATACACACACATTAATTATATATATATTATTAAGTAATAATTTTTAATAATTACCCAATCTTATCATGTTTTAATTTACAGATCAATAGCCGTGGGATTGTGGATCCTCTGTTAGTATCATTATCGTGGGGCCCTGGTGCCTACGCCAAAGTTTGGCGGTCATATGTGATAAATGGTTACACCTATAACACAGTCGCTTACGGACAAGGCCAACCAACAGTGAACAACGGGTTATGTGTCACAACCATCGGTTATGATAACTCGGAAACCAATTTTTTTGGTGTCTTGCATGAGATTCTCAAATTTGAAATGCCTTCTGGTGGGAAAAATTTGACTTGTGTTTTGTTCCGCTGCAAATGGTTCGATCCAACACGTGGTGTGAGAAAAAATTCAAAGTATAATATGATTGACGTCAACCACTCTCGCGTGTATAGGAAAAATGAGCCTTTTATACTCGTTCAACAAGCAGCCCAAGTTTAATATGCAGAATATCCTTCAACCAGGCGGACACAGAATCCTTGGGTGTGTGCATGTACTGTCCGTCCGAGCAAAATTGTATCACAAACTCAACACAAGGACGTTGATTTAGATGCTTTTCAGCAACAATTTTGCCAACCTCCGCCTATTGTTGAGACGGTCAACCACACATTCAGTTAAGTGATCCAAATGGCGGAAGTGTTGAAGTCATGCTAGAAACGCACCTTCCGGACCTAACACTTCTATCTGAGCGCGAAATTGTTCAAATGCATGAAGAACAACAAAATGCTCAATATGAGGAAGAAGGAGAATGGATAGACGGTTCTGATACAGAAGAAGATGTTGTATATGTAGAAAATAACGATTATGATAGTGACTAGTTGTGTTGTTGTAATTACAATTTTTTTGACTTCGAATATTTGTGCTCTTTTCTTCATCATTATATTACTCCAACAATATTTGATTTTTTTCTTCATCATTATTATTTGTGAAATAATAATTACTTCATATTAATTCAACAACAACAACTTTTTATATCCATATTATAAATTCAAAATATACTTTTAATAATTCGAAATTTGAAAATTAAAATTTCCATAATTTGAAATTTAAAATTACTCCATATTATATCCATATAAAAAAAATTCGAAAATTCAAAAAAAATATTAATTTACAATTCAAAAAAATTCGAAAATTACTACATACTTTTAATAATTCGAAATTTGGATATTAATATTAATAATTCTAAATATACAAAATTTTCAAAATTCGAAAATTCAAAAAAAAATTATATATCACAATCAACTAACTAACATAATTCATTTATATTAAGCAAACAAACAAATACAGAATTATTCATCAATGTCAAAACTTTCAAGAGGCCTAGCCCACAGCTCGTTAATTTTCCTTTGAGCTTCTTCGTTGATCGGGTCCATATACTCCGAACATTCTTCTGCACATTGAAGCATCCGACACAAGTTTTTTTTGCTTTTGACTTGCCGATTGAGTCGGATTCCTCATCTTTATAGTCGCCAAAACTTTCAAGGGGTCTATCCATCAACTCCCTGATTCTCTGCCATGATTCAACGGTTGTCGGCTCCATAAGTTGTGTAATTAGCTTAAGTCGTTTCATACCTCTACACATCGAATCCCAGTCAATTGGTTCTCGATTAGCCATTTTATTCTCCACACAAACATTGGACCGAGCATCACTTATTTATACAAAAAAAGTCACAGATTCGTCAAGGATCAGTCCGTGACAAATCGAATTTATTCCCTGTCGCCGGCCAACCTGAGGAGCTGACAGAACGACTGGAAAATAATTAGTCATAGACGGATCCGTGACTAGGGCCGTGACTAATTCAAAATTTTGAATTAGTCACGGTCCTAGTCATGGATCCGTCTGTGATTAGGCCGGTCAAAGGCGGCCCTGACACCTCGTCTTCCGCGTGTCTGACTTCGTTAATTACGACGGTTTAGTCACGGATTTATCCGTGACTACGTCCGTGACTAAGCCCTTATATAAAAGAAACACTTAGCGATTTTTTCATTCCAAGCATTCTCCCAACCCTAAAACTCTCCTCCTCCTTTTACTTCTTCTTTATGTCCGCCAACCCCTTCGACCTCCACCGTCGCCTTCCAGCGTCCGTTGCCACCGTCCGCCGTCGCTCTCCGTTAGCTACCTCCGTCGCTCTTCTCCGTCCTCTTCATCAAGGTTATGTGTTACTAAATTTTAATTACTTTTCATTCTTATTTTTAGTATTTGATTATTATTCCAAAAATGCATGTTATTATAAGTATGTTCGCATTATTAAAGTGCATGCTCTTTTGTTGAAATACACTCAAATGCATGATTATATACATTTTTTTTAGTTTTATATAATTTTCGAAATTATCAATTTGTTTTATGTATTTTAATTTTCGGGTTTGTGTATTAATACATGTGTAATATGATTTAGTTTATATGCTCAATTTGATTTATGCATGATTCTTTAGTTTGGTATACATGTTTTGTGTAGTAATATGATTTCGAAATATGATTTAGTTTATAATTTTCTTTAGTTGGTAATATAATTTAGTTTATTACATGTTTTATATGCTCAATATAACATGATTTAGTTTATATGTTTAATAGGCATGACTATATTTTTTGTGTATAAGTTTAATATGCATGCCTAAATAAGATTTAATTTTAGGTTAAACAACATGCATGATTATTCAAACCTTTTTTATATATTTTTTATTTTGGACTTATGTGTTACATTATATGCATCAATATTATTCTTGAATAGATATAGTTTAAAATACATACTCGAATTATTTAGGTTATTTTGGACTAATTTTTGGACTTAGAATGAAGCATGCTCAATAGAATTCTTTGGACATTGTTAGGATTATTATTATTTTATCATCTATCAAAATTATTATTCCCGAATTATTTAAAAAAATACCCCCTCATGTCAATCTTCCAAAAACGTTTAACATGTTAATTATAAAATATTAATTTAGACATTAAAAACTATTTTCGGAAATTTAATATAAAATATAGATTATAAAAAAACAGTTTAATAAAAACTGTTTTTTTATTAAACTGTTTAATAAAAAACTGTTTATTAAACACTGTTTAATTAAAAACCTGTTTAATAAAAACAGTTTTTTATTAAATTGATATAAAACTAAAGTTAAATAAGAGTACAACAACATCCAAGCCTTAATTCCAAAAGAATTTGGGGTCGGCCAAAGTTAAATAAGAGTATGATTTTAAAATGGCATACGAATAAATACAAAAAAAAACTGTTTTTATAGAATGTATAAAATTTGATTTTATATAAATTTTACTAAAAATGAGGTGAAGTAATAAATAAAAAAAACTGTTTGTATAAAGTTTAGTAAAATGGCATATGAATAAATACAAAATTTGATTTTATACAAAAAAAATTATTTTTATTTAAAAATGAGGTGAAGTAAGTTCAATTAACTTTACAAAAAATGAGGTTAAGTTAATAACTCTAGAAAAAACTGTTTTTATCAGGTAAAAACTGTTTTTATAAAACTGTTTTTATAAAACTTTTTTTATATAAAACTGTTTTTATATAAAACTGTTTTTATATAAAACTGTTTTTATAACTGTTTTTTATAAACTTTAAATACAAAAACTTATTTCAATACAAAAACTAAATTTTTGATAAGTCAAACTATTTTCTTATAACTTCTTTATAAAAAGTATTAAAATGATTTTTATAACTTCTTTATAAAAAGTATATAAAGACTAATACACAGTTTAATATGATTTTTATAACTTCTTTATAATTGAAAAAAAATCGACCCCTCATATTAGACTAATACACAATTTAATATGTTATACACATTTTCAATTGATAAAACTTCTACAAAAATGTGATCTTCTATTATAATTACACTAACATTTAAAAATATATATTTATATATTTTAGATGAGCAATGAACAATCAAGCTCACGTGCCTGCCCGAACTATGTGCCCTTAACCGAAGAAGAGCGCAACAATGAAAATTCGGTTTGGGTGACACCTCACATGATTGCTAAGTAACTATGAACTTTACCTCATGTCAAATAATTTTATCTAATGTCAAATAATCTAACCAAAACGGATATAAAAAAATATCATTAATTTTTTGAAGCGATCAACAAGTGCTGGACCAAATCAAAATCATAATTGGTGGACACTTTCTTGGGAACTGGGCAACCTACACGGATGTTGACCCCAAGGTCCGTGAACTTTGGTGGAACCTGTTCAAGGTAAAAAAAACTGAATGCTCCCTGCGTAATTGTAGTTAGGGGTGTTCACCGGTCCAAAACAGGACCGGACCGGACCGGAACCGGAATCTTAAATTTATGAGAACCGAAGACCGGACCTATTACTATCCGGTCCAGACCGACCCGAACCGGAATTTTCCGGTCCGGTCCGGTTTTGACCCTAATTAACCCATTTTTTTAAACAAAAAAATAATAACACAGACTTTTATTTCGAAAAATAATCTGATGAGCAAATATGCGTAGTAAATGTTTAATTCATATATCAATATTAGCATATAAATGTTTATTACTTCCCTAGTGCACACTATAAACTAGCAGACTGTATTTGTAGTCTTGAATTCTTGCAGGTTGCAACTTAAGAAACAGACTTGAGAATATCATAAAAATATATAAACTACAACCATATACCATATTGCACACCTATAGAAAAGGTACTGCATAAAAAACAAACTGCATTGTAGTTTCAAATCATAGCAAATCTTACTTTAATTTGATAAATGATAAATTACTTTATTTTTTTAATAAAGGGCCGGTTTCGATGGACTGAAGCACAAGACCCCTCTATTCTTAGAGCGTATAACGCTAGAATTTCAAACTGGCTTCATCCCACTTTTAGGCGTGACCGAGCCAGAGGGGTAAGGCCTGGATGGTGTTCGGATGAGGTGTGGGAAAACCTCGTCCTCCACTGGTCTTCGGATCCGAACTTCTTGGCTAGAAGCGAAGCCGGGAAGAAAAATCGGATGTCCGAGAAGGCATTAGAGACACAATGGCATGGGGGCCGCAAACCTCAGAGTAAACATAAAGAAGCTCTTGTAAGTCTTATTCAAATAAACCTTACACCATTTTGACCCTTCATTTTATACATTTATTTATGGATTTTAAACCCTTTTCGAACCATGTAGGCGGGGCTTGAGAAGAAGAATGTCTCGATCCTCAAGGTCATCAAACACTGTTGGACGAAGCATGACGATGAGTCGGAAGCCGATCTGCCACCCCGCCTCGCCGAAATCGAAGTAAGTAACATCAATTTTGTTATTTAGTAACATTTCAAATCGAAGTAAATAACATTTCAATAATTTGTGTACATGTAGACGAAGTATAACATATATGTTGAGAAGAAGCGGACAGAATTAGGCTTGACCCAGGAGGATGAGACCGATTCTGATATGGAAGATGATGCAATCATTGAGGCAGCTGGGGTGTACAAGGGTCGGCTTCCGTGCATGGGGGCTGAGGGGCAACGGATTTTGTACGACCGCAGCGGCAGCGGAGCTTCATCTTCTCGATCAATGCGGGGAGAGGATCCACGCATCGCCCAAATGCAGCGAGAATTGGAGGAGCAGCAGCGGGCATTAGAGCAGCAACGGAAGAAGGAGGAAGAAACAAGAGCCCGACTGGAAGCGATGGAACGGATCTTAAACGTCGAATATCAGCCTCCGCCTCCACCTCATCCTCGGCCGTACATATTGCACCCTGAGAAGACTTCTCAAGTTCCGCACATGGGTAATATGGGTTATCATTCTAACTCCGGATATGGTAGCATGTCTACGATGGGGTCGACATTCGGATCTCTGTCGTATGATTTCTTGAATCAATTTCAGTCATCCGGAGGAGCCAGCCGTGGAGCCAGCCGTGGAGCGAGCCGAGGAGACAGTGGAGGAGGCAACCGAGGAG